TATAAACCTGTGGAATCCTTCCAAACTAATGTGAACTGATGCACCAAGATCCCCAGAAATGTCACCATGAACACCCCTAAAAATACTTCACCCAGCCAAATCCAGGAAGCAGTTTGGAGAGAACTATGCCAATATTGCCAAATAATGTTTATAAATGTTTGTTTACATTTAAAGGGAGACATACTATAGAGATGGATACTTTGTATTGGTATAGATTTTGGTTTATTGTAATAAACTTTAGATCAATTTTTTGATTAAGGTACTGTGTATGTGCAGCTCTTTTAAAAATGTAATATAAAATTAATAAATATAGGTTAATAGATAATCATCTATAATAGTCAAACTTGTATTCACGACAGTTAGATTTTTGAGATTTACAGAGATATATTTCAGATCGATAAGCATTCCTCAAACCTTTCAAAGACTAAAGAATATGGCATTTAAAATGTTTAAGAACTTAAAAGTTTTCAAGACAGTGAGCACATCTGCTCCTGGCCACACCAAGCTACTTCAAGAGGAAGTTAGGCATCAAAGAGTCTCCATATGGAGTTGGTTAGCCATCTGGGCAAGAACTGCCCTTGCCTGGACTGTTTGAAGTTGTGTTGAATGAACTGAACATGCAAGTCCCACAGAGAAATGACCGATGAATTTGCCTAAATATGAGATGGTATTTTGGACTTCCTGCTTCATGAAACAGTCTGCCAGACATTCTGCAGGACACAGAAGAAAATAACTGACAAACTGCAATTATAGGTGAAATTCTCATTCAAATTTCCTACTTCATGGGAAAGTCTGTCAGATATTATGTGCCTGTAGGCTGAAGATGAATGCTCTTACAATATGGAAGAACTTTAGGTGACTGTTCAGGCAGTGAGATGTCTCTATCAATTCTAGAGTTTGGGGAGTTGTTTATAATGTACTTCCTGTTTACTTAGGTAACATTATATCCTTCTGGAGACTTTGATGGAGTTGAAGAATAGATAGTTATAGTGATACTTTTCCCTAGTCACAATAAAAGATGAAATAGATATAAATATTATAACTGTAATTCTTGCTTGATGCTTGTTTTATGTAATTTTACCATGTTAAAGATAAACCTTCCTTTTTATTTAAACAGAAAAGGGAAAATGTTGAGGGAAGACCTTTCTTATAAGTGTTGCATTTGTTGGTTAATTAATGAAGAAACTGACTTGACTGAGATAGGGTAGAAGAGAGCTAGGCAGGGAAAGCTAAACAGAATGCTGGGAGAAAGAAGGTTGAACCATGAGATGCCATGTAGCCCCCACCAGAGACGGGCACACCAGAAATTTGCCAGTAGGCCACGAGCCTCATGGTAAATATAAAATAATGGAAATGGGTTAAATTAAGATGTAAGAGGTAGCCGATAAAAATTTAGAGCTAAAAGGTCAAGCAGTGATTTAATAATACAGTTTTTGTGTGGTTATTTTAGGGCTGAGCAGCTGGGAACAACAAGCAGACTCTTACAACAGGATAGGCTATGTATTTGAAAAAAATTACAGAAGAGAGGAAAGCAAAATGTTCAAAACGGGTCTGCCTATTTTGTCTCCCTTGAATGGGATTAAAGGATGAAGAAAATTCTACAGGGGAGATCTGCTATAAACTCAGAAATGAGATTGGGTGCTTAGATCTAGAACAACAAAGGGGCAGTGGAAAATATGCAGTCAGCCTACCTGCTTCTTTTGTAGGAGTGGCCTCTGTGTTAGCAAGGAGTGCTTGCTGAAGTTTGGGGCATGGATAAAGCAATGTGTAGGGAGAAAGAGGTTTCCCACAATATGATAGAATAGGAGGGTCTGTGAGGTCCACAGGAGATGGGAATGGGGGCAGGGAAGGTAGCAGCAAGTGTTCTATTGTAGTGCTAGAGATGAGACTGATTAGATATGGGGTAACAGTAGAGAAGAAAATCTATGCATGCATCCTACCTGGTTTTCTTTCAGCCAAGGCCTAAGGCTTATCAGGGGAACCATACTAGAATTGGTATCTGGGATAAAGTGACAAATAAAAGGGAAAAGATTAGGAGTGAATTGTCTGTGTGATCCAAGGCAGTTGTGGTCAGGAGGGAAAGGTAGGCTTTAACTGATGTTCTATTGCAGAGAAAGGGATATAACTGGAGGGACATTATTTTGAGGGGAGAAAAGAACAGTGAATGTCTTCAGTTAGTTGACTGTTTCCCTGGCTTGCTCAGAAGCAACTGGGTTCCTACTCAAAGCCTCCTGGTGTTGGAGGCTGGGATAGTGAGATGAACTGACTCAGGGAAAGTTATAGATCTTTGTGATCCATTGCAGATTTATAAGAGAGGAAAGGGAGACCACTGCATGTTTTCTGCTACAAAGCTGGGGATGAAACTGGGTGTATTGGGCCTAGAGGAACAGAAGGAGAAGTGTGGATTGTTGCTTAGATTATTGTTGCCCTAGTAGGAGAAGTGTCCTACAGGTGTTTGGATGGGTATAACAAAGCAACAATATCAGTGATGTAGCTTAAATGAGAAAAATTTGATGGATCAGCAAAACCTGAGACCACAGATGCAAATAAGGCTGCCATGAGTATTCTCCTGCAGAGCTGAGGATAAGACCAGATTATTGGATTTGGGGAAACAAGGGTAAAAGAAAATACATGCAGGATTATTTATTAAGTTTATATTTTCCCTTAATTTTAATGAGCCGTGTTCCTGGGAATAATATTTTAAATTGAGAATTGTTGTCATTCAGAACTTAGAATTATCATTATAGGGCATCTTCTGGTTTTAAATGTTCGTATTGAAAACCTTGGTATAATTCTGATAGGCTTGCCTTTGGGTTTGACTTTTCTCTCTTACAGATTTTAATGACCTTTATTTATTTTCTGATTTTTATGTTTCAACTACATTACCATGCCTGAATGTTCTGGCCTTGCATTTCAATATTTGTAGATGTATTATACCTGGATAGTAATCTACTGCTCTGATTTTGATAAATTTTCTTTCAAGGCATTCTAAAGAATATGATCTATGTAGTGTTAGTTTCTTTCTATATATACTTTGTGAAGGATAGGTCATTCTATACTGCCCAAGTGCTCTCCTAATTTCTATTTATATTTCTTTAAAATATTATTATTGACCTTGTGAAAGTTATCTAGCTCCTCTACTTCTTTGTAGTCTTTTTTAATCCAAATATCTAAAGAATATTAATATTATTTTATGTATTATTTAAATATAATTATATCATTTTTCCTGACCTCTACTAGTACCAACACCTACAACGCACCAAGCTCTCTTTGAAATTCATGGTCTCTGCCCTTTAATTGTGATAGTTATATATGTAAGTGCATGTGGATAAGTATATAAATGCAATGAGTTGAAAACACATAATAATTGATTGTATGTGTATATTTTAGAGCTGACGACTTGAGATTGGATAAACTTTTATGGAGCTCAACCCTGAGAAAAACTTCACCTCTTTATCTCCATAGTTTTTAATTGCCTGCATCTCATCATCTAGGCTTGTAATCCCATGAAAATTTTGTCTTCATAATTTTAATTAATGTTTGATTATTTAGTTTCAATTTCAACATCTAAATTTTGTGAGACTTCATGCATGTAGCTTCCCTGTCATATCAAGAAGTAGCCATCTGCATCACCCATCCTTTTGTCTGATTCTTACAATCTTTATTCCCATATTAATATCATACATATTATGATGTACTCTGAGCCTGAAGTATAGTGGTTTTACTATAGATGTTATAACTGGGGATGGACATCCCATGGTCAACTGCTCTACACAATTCACTAGGTGATGATTTCTTCCTTTATTATTATAAGAAGTTTCACTGCTGATATGTGAATTCTATATTAATCTGTGGGCGAGGATAAATATTTGTAATACATTGAAGAACTTTGCTGGATTAACAATGTAGAAATAGGAAGCTGTCTTCTTAGAACTTTACTTCATTAGAGTGTTCAGCTAGGCTTTTATTAGCAGGCATTTACTGACAAGATATAAGTGTAACAATTGCACCACTATATATCCAAATGCATTTCAGCAAATAGAAATATAATTATTAATTTTGGGTGTGATTCTTTAGACTAATTTAAAGTTAATTTGAACACAAGCAGTGCTAAGTTTATCTTTAGAAAATAGCATAAAGCTGTATTACAAAAGGAGACAGATGAGTATCTTTGTGTGGCAGAAATCAATAGGGTAAAGGTTAGTAGTTTAAATAGTGTTGGTTATATAATATTAGATACACTGGAGAACATCCACTGATTATAAAAATATTATCAATTTGAGAGTTAGAAAATGGTGATGATACATAAGTGAACTTGTCTCAATGTTAAAAGTTGTAACCTTTGACAATTCTAAATGTAGACTGATCTTTCATTTCCTGGCTGCCCAAACCTGAATAATCAAAGAAAAACTATAAATAGTTGTCATCCCTAATTTTCTTACCTTGGATAATTTCTCTTAATCTTTTAATTAATTTTTTTCTAGGATTTATCAACCCTATTGTTTTTCCCAGAGAGTCAACTCTTCCTTTCATTAATTCTTTGTATTATTTTGCTGTTGTTATTTCTATTTTACTGATTTCAGTCCTGAACTAGAATATTTCTTGCTATCTTCACCTTCTGTGTATTGTTTTTGCATTTTCTTCTAGAGCTTGCAAAGGTGGCATTCAGCTAATGTGAGATCTCCCTCTCTCTTTCTTCTTCTTCTTCTTCTTCTTCTTCTTCTTCTTCTTCTTCTTCTTCTTCTTCTTCTTCTT